ACCCTAGGAATGACCCCAACTGTTGGTTCATTCTCTTGCTCTGAAGTATATGCACCTCCCATTGAATAAGTTTTTCCAGATCCAGTCTGCCCATAGGCCAGGACAGTTGCATTGTATCCTGGTAAAATAGAAGTCACATGCATAGTGGTGCTCAAAAAAATTGCATCCAATCAATATACTACATTTCCTTCAGCAATTACTTTTAAGAAAACTGATATTGCCCTCTTAAGACAAAATCTCTTAAAAATAGCAGACACAAAGAAAAGTTCTGTGGATGCCATGACTTTGTACCATTGAAGATAAGCAGAGAAATACCAACTCTAGATTATTGCCCCTTCTTGACAGCTCTTAAAAGCTAAAACATAAAATACTTAAATATACGATGAAGCTGGCATATATTTCTTGATTAAAAGAGTCTTGCCAGACATGGTGGCATACTCATGTGATCTCAGCACTTAGGAGGCTGAGACAGAAGAGTCACAGTTTGAGGTCAGTCTGGGCTACATAGTAAGTTCAAGACCAGTACGTAGACCTTGCCTCAAAAGGAAGAGAGGGAGAGGGAGAGGGAGAGGGAGAGGGAGAGGGAGAGGGAGAGGGAGAGGGAGAGAGAGAGAGAGAGAGAGAGAGAGAGAGAGAGAGAGAGAGAGAGAGAGAGGATGAATATCTTCATTTGAAAAGGCAGCAACATTGTTTTTTTACAATTGATGAAAGCATCTACTCCTCATCTCAATAGTCCAAATGCACCCAGACCATATAGATCATCAGGGTGCTCACAGAAATGTCAGTAAATATGATTCAATGTGTTATATATATCCTTTGCTTTTATAGAGCAAAAAAGAATCATCCACTTAAAGGTATTTATGATATAGTTAACTGAAAAAAGTAGGTTAAAAGTAGTTATTAAATGCAAGTGCCTATGCCAGAAAAATCAAAAGGATATCAATTATTGGGCTGGGGGCATGGTTCAAGTGGTAGAATACTTGCCCTGCAAGCACAAGGTCCTGAGTTCAAACCCCAGTAACACCAAAAAAAGAATAATTCACACTTTGAGTTTAGTTCCAAGTAATAGAGATTAAAAGTATTTGTTTTATAGATTAATTTTTATGTTTTCTCTTGTCAGAGAATCCAGATTACTAGTTACTTGGGCATTTTCTTTTCGTCCCATAAGTTTTGATTGAAACTAGAGACAGATAAACCCCGCTACAAGTAGTAAGATTTTAAAAAGAAACTTTAGACAACAGATGGGCTAGTCTTCAATTATTATAATAATTCAATTAATTATAAGGTAGTAGCAACTAGAAGAACTATAAATCCAAATTTATTTCAAGGTGAAATAAATGACCTTGGGAACTGTCCTTTATTAGAGTGACAGACATGTTCTAAAGAAACACAGGTAAGCTTTCTGTTAAATGATTACCATATTTATGCCAAAGTTGTTACCTACTATTTAACAAGATAATTTTGAAGTCTGAAGGGAAAATCTTCAAGTCTTTAAACACTATGTTTATCTACATGATAATCTTGAAGTTTTAAAGGAAACTGCTATTCTAAATGAAAAATCCTAAGATGGTAAATCGAGATTTTCGCTTTAATAAATTGATGGTATCGTCTGGTATGATTATAGAGCAACATTCCATAATTTTCTGCAATACCACAGATATGTATAGAAGCATCATCTTGGGAAAACAGTTTTCAGTACTTTGCATATAATACTCAGGGCTCTGTGCTACCAGGAGTTCAGAGTACAAAAGGGTGCTATTGAGCTGACTATGAAAAATAATGGCTTTGCTTTTGCAACTGAGAACAATGTTAAACACCTATATATTGCAATCACTTTCTACTTAATATTGTCTTTAAAGACCATGCTTGAATTTTCATGGTTTCCCAACTTGAGAATATGAACATAAAACTTATAGTGTTCTTAGTAAGCTGTGGAGGTACATTCTGAAGAAGATAACTAGACAGTGAGAGCCTGAAAAACATTGTTTTAGGAAGGGCTAAAGAGAAGGGGGATGGTTATCAGAAGACATTTGAACCATATAATAGTCTTCCGGATATGTGAAAAGGCAAGAAAAGATTGACTTTATAGTGGAGAAGGCCAGCAGATAACACCTTAATCATATGATCAAAATGAACATCAGTAGTACTGGAACAGCTGGACATCACGGCTCACACCTGTAAGCCCAGCTACTTGGGAGGTAGAGATCAGGAAGATCACAGTTCAAGCCCAGTCTAGGCAAAAAAGTTTGAGACCACATTTCAATCAATAAAATTCTGAGTACAGTGGCACATGCCTGTCACCCTAGCTACATGGGAAGAATAAATAGAATGATGGCAATTCAGTCTAGCACAAGCATAAATGCAAGACTCTACTTGAAAAATACCTAAAACAAAAAGGGATGGGTATATGGCTCAAGTTGTAGAGCACTTGCCTAGCAAGCACAAGGCCCTGAGTTCAAACTCTAGTACTGATAAAAAAATAGTAATAGAACAAATTAAAATCATGTCTTACCTGACAGGACGCAATGAGAATATGGCACCACTTTTGTGATATTTCTGCTAAAAGATATATAACCTGAATCTAATCATAACATCAGACAAAACAAAATTGCGAAACATTTCCAAAGTAACTGGCCCGTAATCTTCAAAAGTGTCAAAAATCATGAAACTAAAATAAAAAGACTGAAGAACCATTTTATAATGGAGAGTAAGGAAGCACAGCTAAATATGTGTGATTTTGAATCAAATTCTTTTTGCTATAAAGGACATTATTGGAACGGTTGTCAAAACTTGAATGGGGTTTAAGGATTAGATGGTAGTAATGTGGCAATGCTACATTATGTTACCATAATTAAGTTACCTTACAAGAGAGTCCTTCTTTGTAGGAAGTATAAGCTATAGTATTCAGGGGTCATGAGGTCAACAACACATCTCAAATGGTTCAGGAAAAAAAAATTCTTTCTGCTGTTCTTGCAAAATTTCTACAAATTTAGTATTTTCACATTTTGAAATAAGGTGTTCAATGTGCCCTGAGCCATGGCATCATTTTTTTAAAAGGTGAAAATATATGTGAATAGCTGTTGCTTGGAAGGCTTCTGCTTATCTAGAGAAATGAACTAACAACTGAGTAACAATTACTGGGAAGTAAATTTCTTCTCAATAGCACCATCTTTCTAACACAATTAGAGTTGTACAAAAACCAAAATAAAGGTGGAGTACCTGTGAATTAGTGAGTTCCCTGCCAAACAAAAATTTAAACAGACACTGGAAGTTCATCTAACAGTTGCATTTTTCTTTGGATGGAAAGTTCAACTAGATCATACACAATGCACTTTTTGACTTTAAGGCACTAGTATGCCACAATTCGACTTCTTTTCAATGAATCTCTGTTTCAAATCTTGAATAACTGCTGCACTAGAATGATAATAAGACATCTCTCAGTTACTAACACTCTTCTTTTGAACACTGCTGTGGTCATCAACATTAAAACGTTAGCTCCTGCAATAAAGATTATTAACTGGCCATAGTATTGGGGGGGGGGCTTTAGGAAATTGACCTTTGTCAAAAGTTCCCTATTCTATGAAATTCACCTAAAACCTGGAAAGCAGAGTTAGTGCCATTCTTTTGTTCTTCATACCGCTTAGTTTTAAAACAGTGCTACTTCTATAGCGGGACTGACTGTTGTATATTTTTAACGTTTACCATATTTTAAGATAAGTGCAACAAATTTCTAAAAATTATGTATTCAAAATTATTTATGTAGTCATCTACTTCTCTTCCTGCCCCTTGGACTTTGAACACCTTCAGAGCCTGGAGGCTATATAATTTCTCCCTGGATGGATAATAATGAATATTGAGGCTTGGGACTGAAACAGGTTGGCACACGGATCATCATCAGCACCCACCAAAGAGCCTATACTCTAACTCAGATTGGAACAAAAATATGTACAAGTCAAAGATAAACAGAAACACAGAAATCAAATACAGTATAAAGCTTCAAGGGTACAGAGACTTTTTGAAGACAGGAATCATTTTACCCATTCCTGTATTAGCAGTGCCAGGGCACTGTGCCTAGTCTTAACTATAGGCTCAAGAAACCTTCCACGAATTAAATGGCCTCACCTTTAAATATGCCTTTTATAAGTGGTGCTACTGCTGTATTGAAGACCTCTTCCTGTTCAGTAGAGGGGTCAAACACAAAATCATAGGTAAAGGATTTATCGGTACCAACCACCACCTATAAAAGGCAAAGGACAAGGCGTAAGGGAAAAAAAAAGGCCACGCCCCTCGTTGCCACCCAGCAGTTCAGAGACAAGCTGTGGATTCTGCTACGCACCTGAGGTTCTCCAGGCACGAAGGAAAGGCACATTTGGCAGCCCTCGTTAACTTCTTTAGAGACCAGAGGGCGACAACGCAGTGCCACTCTTACAGGAATTCCCTTCACCTCCTCCTTCATGATCCTAGCCCAGCCCCGTCTCTGCGGGGGAGAAAACCGGGGTTCACTGATGAGTCTTGGTAGGTGGCAGGAATAGAAAGACCCTCCGTAGAGGATGGGGAGGGCTATGGAACTCAGCCGTCGCGGAGGCACCTCCGTCCCAGCCAAATCGCTGTCTTAGATTACTCTCACACTTGTCCACAATGGAAAAAGATCCGACACTCTCAAGAGTGAAGTGGCATCTGAAATGAAAAGAAAAAAACTCCGGAGACAGCGACAAAAGAACCAAGGCCCCACTGTATCGGGAAAGGCAGAATCTGACCTAAGGTGTGTCCTCTTAACTCACCAAACTAAATGTCCCTTCTCCCAGTCTTCCCCGGTCTCCTGGCGCCCTGGCTCAACTGGAACTTTAACCGCCAAGTTTCAAATCGGCCCCGGAGGCGCCAGCCAATAGGAGCGCAGACAGCCTGGAGGCGGAGCATTACGTCAGTGCGCACAAGAAGGAAGCGTACAGGACGTGAGAGCAAGCGCGCGCCGCCGCCCGGCCCTGCCCCTTTTCTATCCTAACGAGCTTCCGCTTCCGGTTCCAAGGCTGAATTGGCTGTGAGCCGAGGCTCTGGTGGCTCCGGTGTACCTGCCGGTGAGATGGTGCGGCGTTACAAGGTCTTGGGACTCAGGCAGGATTAGGGACAGAGATCTGGAAGGTGGCTGGTTTAAGGAAGAGTGAATCAGGGGACCCCATCATTACTAATCACCTCTATAGAATGTGGGGCGGTGTCCGCCCCAGTCCCTAGATAGTTGGAGTCAGCACAACCTAGATCTTTGGGAGTAGCTTTTTTTTAGATGCGACTCTAATTTCCTCTTCTCTGACATGATCACGAATAACACCTGTTTTGCAGGATTGTAGATACGAAATCATGTCTGTATTGTCTCCACCTAGCAAGTCGCTTGGCATCTAGATATTTAGCAAAGTTAATATTTTTTTCATCATATTTCTTCCTTCTCTCTTCCAGTGTCCCCCCTCCCCCCGTACTGTGGTTTGAACTCAGGCCCTCACGCTCTAGCGCTCTACTACTTGAGCCAAGCCTCAGCCTTCTCCGATCTTAACATCTAGGTTGTGGGCTAGGCCCATAGACTGCTGGCCTTAGAATGGGTGGGAGCTGCTTTCTGAAACTTGCTAGGCTGCTATCCCTTTTGAATCACTTTTGTCTGCTTTGATGCACTCTTTCTTTCCCAGGGCCTTGCCTGAGATGGAAAGCCGGATTCCTTATGATGACTATCCAGTGGTTTTTCTGCCTGCCTATGAGAATCCCCCAGCATGGATTCCTCCTCATGAGGTGGGAACCATCATTTTTCCTGAGTGGGGAATTTTTGCTTAGGAATTCATGCCCAGGAATTTTTCCCAGGGCATGAGATGATGCATGAAAAGTAGAATGGCAGGGTTAGAAAGCTAAATGGAGATTGAATCTTAATCCTTCTTTTAACCAAAGGCCCTAGAAGCTGAGTTTTGAGCAACAGGGCTCCAGTGAAAACTTCTTAAGGAGGTAATTGGGATGTATCTACACAAGTGAATTCTGGAATTTCAGAGCCCTAGTTTCCATTCTGTCAAAAGGTAAAGAAGTAGAGAACTCTTGGGTTTCTGCCATGTCCCCATGCTAAACATCTATTCATTTGGACAGTATTACCTGTTTTCCTTAAACTAATTCTATGACTTTACCTTTTCCTCACTTGAGGATGATACATTCCTGCTCCAGAAGAAGATGTCACATCTATGACTGGCAGTAAGATTTCTGGGATTGCTGTGTCTTGCAGAGAGTATACCACCCAGACTACAACAATGAGTTGACCCAGTTTCTACCCCGAATCGTCACACTGAAGAAGCCTCCTGGTGCTCAGGTGAGCTTGTAGAGGCTCTTATTCCAGGCTAGATTTGTCCACATCAGAAGTTGGCCACGTTGGGGGGAATGGATTGGGAAATAGGTGGGGAGTGGAGGAAACTTTTCTTCTTATGGTCAGAAAAGTTGAGATATGACTTCTACAACTCCTCTTTTCCCTCTGCAGAACACAGAAATTGAGCTATTATACAGTGATGTTATTAAATGTTCTTGTGTTTGTGGTCTGTATTGAGCACCCATTCCATGCTCTTGTCTTACAGTTGGGATTTAACATCCGAGGAGGAAAGGCCTCCCAGCTAGGCATCTTCATCTCCAAGGTATGTGTGCCTCGTAGGCCACACCTACTAGCTACTTCACTTTGTTATCAGATTGCAGTACTGATGGCTCAAGGACTGAGAAGGATGACTCAGTGGACTGATAGAGTTAGCATAATGGGGGCACACCCTTTCTCCCTTCAAAACTTTCCATTTGGCAAATCACCTGTCTCCTTATGTTGTCACAGAAAGATAATAACACTTTACTTTTGAATAGCACTAAATTCCATTTACAGTTTTCTGAAGTTACCCTATCCCAATTACATGTATTCTTCCTTTATTAACAGGTGATTCCTGACTCTGATGCACATCGAGCAGGACTTCAAGAAGGGGACCAAGTTCTAGCTGTGAATGATGTGGACTTCCAAGATATTGAGCACAGCAAGGTGAGCACAGCAGTTGGGCTGCATTGATACAAGAAGACATTCCAGGTAAGGCAGGTTGGACAGGTTTAGCCTAATCTGTCACTTCATAAGAAAGCATCTCTCCTGGGGAAACATACCAGAGGGGAAGCAGCTACTAATGACTCAGAAGGTTGGAGTTGTAATTCCCATCCTCCCTATTATGATTCTGTCCCAGGTTTTATCTGTTTATTCAGACAATCTGCTGTGTTCCCTCCAGGCTGTTGAGATCCTGAAGACAGCCCGTGAAATCAGCATGCGTGTGCGCTTCTTTCCCTACAGTAAGTGTCACTTTCTTTGCTTTTTTACTTACTTGTCACGGCCCTAGATAGGAACTCTTTAAATAGTGGTAATTAGAGGATGGGAATTAGGAGCTCAGGCCTGAAAATAACCTGCTCTGTTCCTTCTCTTTCTTTCTCCCAGATTATCATCGCCAAAAAGAGAGGACTGTGCACTAGAGAGTTGCAGCCCATGGCCCTCCAAGTGGAATCTGCCAGGAACAAGCTAGCCAGGCCCCAGGGAAGCCACTTGGGAAATTTTCAGCCCCTCCTTGGCATAATGGGTGGAGAAGATGGGAAGACAGCCAACTGCATTACCCAAATTGTACTATACTTTGAGTCTTTGAGTTTCCTAGTTTTCTAGGTGGGCTTCATTATCTGAAAGAAGGATGATGATGTCTAGAGATAGCCTATTCTGGAGGGAACCCAGCAAGAAAAGGAAACTGACATTTATTGGATGTATAATACACTTAGACACTGTTTTTGCCCCTTCTTCCTCCTGTCCAAAAAAGTAAAACACAATACTTGAATAAATGTTGTGACTTGAATGATATCAATTAGATGTAAAATGCTATTGAGGCAAGAAAAAAACTGTTCCAAAGAGAGGAGCCACTGGAATAAACAGCCAGTTCTATACTTCCTTCACAACTGTCTATGCCTGGTCAGATCATTAGAGAGGCCCAGGAACCTTAGCCACAGTATGACCAAGGAATGGCCTAGGGTGAAGGATACTGAGAGAAGCAGAGCCCTTTCCCCTCGCAGCTTTAGCTGTTTCTCTGCTGGGACGGTATTGATATAATTCTCCTGTCCCAGATTCTTTTTTCTGGAACTTAAACCAAGGAAGGGGCTTAGATGCATTTTTTTCCCACAGGCAGAGTAATAAATTGTTTCCCAGTTTCCATCTTGTAGGTTAAGTGATGCTAACTGCCAACTTTTTTTTTAATATCCCAGCCCCAAATAACTTTCTGCCCTGTTCTTAGATATTTAGTTACTAATTCTAGGTCACACCTATGTCACCTACATTGGCATGTTGAAAATACCCATTTTCTAGTGAAGTTGTGGGCAAGGTGCCCCTATGGTGAAAGCTCAAAAATTGACTTGAAACAATCATGGTGAACTTTAGTATGTATTGCCAGTTCCTTCCCCTGGTGAGTGATTCTGTTGGTTTTTGGTAGAGCTTGTAAATTGAATTTTTAAATAAGCAAGGCAAATGAATCTTCAAATACGGGAACACTGGTCTAATATATGTCAATGAAGAAATTGACTCTTCCCATATCCCCCTCTAGCTCTACTAAGGTACCTCTTCTAATTTTTTTTGGTGGTACTGGGGCTTAAAATCAGTGCCATGAGCTTGCTAGGCAACCACTTGAGCCATGCCCCTAGCCCTAAGGTATCTATCTAGAGGCTCACTGCCATTTCTGGGGACATTACCCCTTGTGAGTAGAACTGGAGGTAGAATTAATTTAGTTTTCTCTGGCTCCTGGGAATTATCCTATGTTCCTATTTGCTATTCTGATCCCCCAGTGGCCATTTGAGAAAAAAGACAGCAAGATACTTTAACAAAAGCATATTGACTGAGTCTACTGAATGTTGATATCCAACACTCTTCCCTGTGGTCAGCAGATTTTAAAACAACGTATCTAAAAAGTATGGTCAACATGGTAAAAAGGCTTAGCCAAAAATCCTCCTGCTCTAAAGTGTGTCTCACTTTGAGTTACTTGAAAGGGCTGTTAGAGACTAACATGGGGCAATTGCATTATGAAGGTATAGATACAGTGTGGAGAGGCATAAGCAATAGCAGGCTGAGGTTGAAAGACCAGTTGTTTATTGAACACTGTTTATAAGAAAACAGTGAAGAATGAATTGTATTGGCCTTTGAAGTTATGCCAGCCACATAACTTCTAGCCATCAGAGAATGTAGGGTGGAATTCCCAGGTGCTGCAAGAAGTTTCCACCCAATAAAGCTGTCAGATGATAATGTTTTCAGAGGTTCTGTTTTATTCCTAAACCTAGGAGTTAGAAAAGTAGCCAAGTGTGCAAACCATAAGCCTGGAATGTGGGGGAGAAGGTTGGCATGGAAAGCCCAAATGCAACAAGTCTATCAGGTTAGGCAGAGACACCCTAAGCTATCTATAACAATGGTTTTTGATGTCTGACTTCTTGAAGGGTTGCAGTTGTATTTCAGCCCCTAATACATATGTTAAGGGAGGAAATAGAGTGAGATGACTGGAGTCAAATCTCAACTCATAGGAGCAACTTCTAGAAAAAACAAGAGGAAGATCACATGATCCCCTTCATCCTTGGCAAACCAAAGAAATACTCTGGACTAAAGGTAGTTCCATTCTCCCTTTAAGCACCACTCAAGCAGAAAAATTGGCCTGGCCATTAACCCATTAACTAAGCAAAGGAAGCTGGGAAAAGGAATATTCCCACCAGTGGAGGTAAAATTACTTCGTGAAGAAGGGCAGAAACCACATGCTAGAATAGTTTGTGTGTGTGTGTGTGTGTTTGTAGTGACAAGCAAAAGAAAAAAATGTTCAGAGGCTGAGATGACTCCAGGCTTTTGGGTTGCATGATGAGATGAATCTTGCCTCCCACCTACCATAGGATAAGCCAAAGTTATGCAAAAGTGTAGGTGATGGTGGGTAGCTAGAGACAGTGTAATAGAAGTAGCATAAAGAGAGATAGGTATTATATTTTTTATATGGTTACTGGTTTCAGTATTATGCCAGGGGCATAGCCACCTCAGTAAACATCACATTAAGGTCTCTGGACCACAAACTCTTTTGCAAAGACTTATCTGGACAAAAGGGAGCTGAGCACGTCTATAAATTCCAGTACTCGGGAGGCTGAGGCAGAAAGATTGTGAGTTTAAGGCCAGCCTAGACTACATAGTGAGATCCTGTCTCAAACAAAAAGGTAAAAGGGACCATATAGTAATAACCTAGAGTTAATGGTTAAGGATAGATCCTTCTAAGATGTAATGATACTTCCCTTAGGCCAGGAACCCTAGAAACCTTGAACTCATAACCTTTCTGATCCTGACACTGGTAATTCCTCCCCAAGTAAACAGTAGACCCTCCCCATTAGGGTTGAATTTAGGTATGTTAGAAAAACTCATTGTTCAGGTCAGTCTTACTATGCATGGGCATAATGACAACATCGCCTCTTTTTGCCCATAAGTCTTCTTCCCACTTTTGTCTCCTTGAAAGAAATGATGTCTTCAAAAAATGTGTTGCAGAGAATTGAAATATTTAGAAGTCTGAGAGAAGAATGTACCTGCCCTTCCTCTTTTAGTCTTACTAACCTCCCTATTGCTTCCCTCATAATCCCCTTTTCAAATAAAACATCCCAAAACACCCACTTGTGATATCATAGATGACCACTATAATAGTTGAATCACTAATCAGCTAGGAATTAGGTAGGTAGCTAGGAATTAATGTAGTTAGAAATTAGGTGCAAGAGCACTTCTGGCCAGCTGTGTCCCACAGATGCAGCTGAACCTGCATGAAACAAATGTTTAGGATGAAGATGGGAAAAGGTAGAAAAGAAAGTTGAATTTTAAGAGCTAGAACCTAATGGCAGAATAAAAACAGCCAAGGAGACTGGATCCCTGAAAAGTGTCTGCCACAGCCTCAAGTAGTTTACAGACAGTAAACCAGTCTCAAGATACTGTTTTGATTAAGGAAGACCCTACAGGATAGCAGATATCAGGGTTCAAGTCCTTTTGAACTTTACCTTACAGTTTAGATAAAGGCAGAGAAGACCAGAGACATCATGGGGCTTGGTAATACGGGAGAGACTTCAGTTTTTTCTTTCCCCTTCTTTATTCACAGATGATGTGGTAAGTGCTACTCTACTGTGATGAGTAGGCTTAAGGGGTTGAGACATAGATTTAGTGGTATGATTTTTAACACTTGCTATCTGGTCCTCCAAGTCCATGGTCTTAGGAAGACAGTTCCAATGGTTGCCTGCAAAAAAAAGTTAAATACTCTGAATTCCCTTTCTGCCCCCAATACCGGGAGTCTTAGAGCCAGAAGTGGAGGATAGCCCTTGAGGAGGTTGTCCTGGCTCAACTTTCTAGCACTTACAAAAGATGTTTGAGGCAGAGAATCCCCTGGTGAGTTGGCCAACAAAAGAGGCAAAAATAGCCATGACTCACTGGTAGCTATTCAGGAGGCAGAAATCAGCAACCCCAAGGAAATAGTTCCTGAGATACTATCTTGAAAAAAACCCATCACAAAAAGAAGGGTTGATGGAGTGGCTCAAGTGGTAAGAGTGCCTGCCTAGCAAGCTTGAGGCCCTGAGTTCAAACCCTAGTACCACCAAAAAATTTTAAAAAAGCAAAAATGACTCCTTGGTGGGTTCCATGGAGCAGGTGCTGATGGACGCTTCTGCACTGTGAGGAACATACTAAGTAGGCTAACCATTGCCCTCTCTCCCCGCCACAGTCTCCATGAACCCCTCCTCACACACTCGAAAATTCCCCAGGAGGAGGAACCTGCTTCCTCAAGTCACCCGCTCCATCCCATTCCAAACTTTTCACACCTTCCTATCCCCAAAGCCCAAACCAGACCCACATTGCTCTGCTTTCCCACGAATACAAGTCTGGATTTGCACAGAGCCTGGTATTTGTGTTTCTCTTGGTCTCCAGGCTAAAACCTCTGGCCTTGCTCCAGGCCCCAAGTGGACCAAAAGCATACATTGTGGGAGTGGGAGATGTGCTGGCTTCCTGCGCTTGGCCTTTTGCTACCTGGCATCACACCACACACTCCCCAACAGGAGCCTAAGACAGTTGGCTTTTCATCTCTGTGTGTGGCCACGCCCCCTCAGCTTCCTCCTGTGCCTTGTACTCCTGCTAGGGCCGTGGGGTGATTGCAGGAGTAGGTGATAGAGTGGGGACAGGGATGGCCACAGCCAGAGAGAAAGCCCAAGGATCCAGGGAGGGTGGGTGGCAATGTCAGAGAGGAGTCGGGGGCCACGTAGGGGAGGAACAAAGGCTAAGGGTAATCTAATCATAGGGATAAAGGGGGGAGGATCATTCTGAGTAGCTCCATTCTCATCCAGGAGGAGGAAATAGCAAAGAGATCGACAGTCACGCCTGGACAAAGCGATTTATTAGCGTGGTACAGTGGGGGCTCCCACAGACCGGCATTGCAGCTAGGTTTTCAGCTCCCCTCCTCTTGCTTAGCTGTCAAAGCCTCTTGTTTCTGCACTCTGCCATGCTCCTGCCGCATAAACTCCTCGATGACTATGTCCTCCGAGCTTGCAGAAGCAGCAGAGGGGGATGGAGGGTTAGGAACCCCTTTCTGGGCATCCCCCACATACACCCCGTTTGGCTGATCCCAGAGAAGCAATCCCTTTCCTGCTTCTCTGCTGGGCCCCTTTGCTCCCCTTGGGACCCCTACCCCATCCCACACACACACACATTGACCACACTGGCTTGTATCCTTGTATCTCCAATATAAAAGTGTCCCGGGGATGCCAAAAGGGAAGTAATAACTGACAGTGGGACCGCGGGAAGGGATTGCAGAGTGAAAGAAGGAAGAGCGAGGGGCAGAGGAAAATGAAAAATAAAAATGGAAGGGATGAGGGGGAAGAGCAGGGGTTGGAAGGCAGGGGCTGCAGAAAGGGAAAAGGGTTTGTGAAAAGCACTAAACTCTGACACAAAGCTAAACCAGATGTTTCCACTACACATGTATTGAAAGCAACACCCTGGGGAAGTTTCTTTCATTTCCATTATCATAAAATGGAGGGTAGGTGTTGGGGGGAGTGTCTTCCAGACCTTACCTAGTGACTTCTGTGGCAAGCATGGAGGGGAGTGATGGAGCTGAAGCTGATAAGGGGCTCACCAGTTCCCTGAAATGTTTTAACTGCCCCCCTTCTCCCTCCCACACTTCCCCTGAAGACCTAGACACTAACCTGCACATTGCTATTCTCTCTCTTTCCAAACTGCTATCTCCAAGTCATGAGATCAGAACTACTTGGTCCCCAACCCTCAGGGTGACCATTCCTGGCAGTCCCACCTGGTCACTCACCATGAGATGGCTTTGGATGGATCAGGATCAGGGGCAGCTCCACACCAACATCACTGCAAAGGATTACCAGATGAACCTCCCTTCCTCCCTTTTTCCCTCCCTCCCTCAGATTTCCAGTCCTAGGATGCCTTAAGATTCTGCCTACTTACTTTTCTTCTTGTCCCAGTCCTCACCCCACTCTCTCACCTGGCTGTCAGATCTCCTAGGATGCTGTAGGTAGAATGACACCCAAAATTAGTACCTGATAATGGGGAATGGGCAACCTACTTTTACCATGGGATGGGTAAGGCCAACTCAGGAACAGAATGGGTTTCTGGGAGGAAGGTGACTTGCTCACTGAATTTACAGGGTTGTAAACTTAGTCCAACTGAGAGAAAAACAGAAGTGAGACGACCCTTGGCTCCCTAGCCCCTGCCCAGAGGGATCATGAACTCTCACTTACCCCCCACTGGACACCATCAAGTTGACTCTAACTTTGTAGGATATCAGGATCCCCAGCAGTTCTTTGTTCATTCCAGGTTGAAGACTGGAAGTTGTAATGTCCATTTTTGTGTGTTTGCCGATGGAAAGGGGAGTAATTCATTCAGTTCCCCCAGTTCCTTCCTGTGCATTTCTGTCACCACACCCTATTACCTTTGCCTTCTCCCAAAATATCTCCCAGGCTCTAATCTCTCCTACTCATTGGGATCACATTTCTGTTCCTAAAATTTAGTTTTACCATAGTACCTACTCTGCTCAAGAGCCCACCTTATTGACTATAACTACTCTGCTTGACTTTCAAGATCCAAAGCAATCTGGCCTCAGCTACCCTTCCCAACCTTTTCTGCCCTAACTTCCTAACGCCTGGGATACAGCCTAGGCATACCCATCTCTGCATTCCAAAATGTCATGTGGATTCCCACCTTCTAGCCTTTTCCCATGTCATGTCTCCAGTCTGGAATGTTCCTTTCTCTCTCTGTTGGTATCCAGATCTTACACATTCTTTAAGATCGAGCTCATTCTGTCTTCTCTAAGAAGCCCTTGGCAACTATGTTGGCTTCTTTTAACCTCTACTGGACTCATAATCTGAACCACATGTACTTTAGCTGTTAGATTGCGTTTGCATTCTTCATTGTTCTTCATCTAGGCCAGACATTGACTGAAGGCAGAGACTCTTAAACTTTGAATGCCCCACAGTGCTTAGCATGAATGAGCATTTAACAAGTGCTCAATAAAAACCTGTTGATTGAAAAATAAGAAACGAAAGGCTCTGTGACCTTGGGAGAGTCTCTTAATTGCTCTGGGTTGATGATTCCCTCGCCATAAAATAATACTGTCTGAATAATTTCTGTAGCAATAACAGTCTATAACTGATAAGGAGTGGGGATAGTTGGGGGAATTTATAATTGTCACATGGTGGCAGATGGCTTTTGGTGGAAGACACATCTAACACTAGAGCCTTTGAAGGCATAGGACCAAATGAATCATTGTCATTGAATTCTATCAATTCCTGTCATATCATTCTCCCTTTTAGTCCTGCTTTTGCCCCATTTCTCATTTTCTAACCTACTCCATTTCTATCTTCTCTACAGAGCAATTACTGAAGAGATCAGAGTTTAGAGCCAGATGACATGTAATAGAATTCTATCCACCTCTGTTAGTTATGTAGCCCTGGGACAAGTTCCTTCTCTTTTGAGTCTTGGAATCTGTAAGTGTAAAATGGCCTAAGAACACCTGTCTAGCTTACTTACCTGTCTAGCTTTCTTATGAAAATAACATAGTATATATGCAAGGCCTTTGTGAGCTATAAAATATTATACAAACATAAAGATTTTCTCCTCTCCGCATTTCCCTTTCCTGCTGCCTATGACCAAAGGCAGACATTGGTCCTACGGGAATTGTTTAACTTGCTGCTGGCTCTCAGGCCTGGAAGTGTTCTGAACACTGACCCAGGGACATTTTTAAAAGTAAATAGGCTTCCCTGAAGATGAGACTCATGTGGAATGGGTTAGGGTAGGAAGTGGAGTTTGGAAGTTACGTTTGAACTTACATTGTGCTAGAGGCCAGATTGGTATCTTCATGCTTGAGTTTGCCATCCAGTGCCAGGCCCTGTTTCTGGCAGTTGTGAGCCAGGAGTGGAGTTACTGCAAAGCTCTGGGAGAAGCTGGAGTTAGCAGCTATAGTCTCCCTTTGAAAGGAGAACAAAAGAACTTAGGCTAGGCTTGCCAAGTACATTCACTTCCAAGAGTATCTTGTACAATCTCAAGAATCTACTAGACTATCTAAAGAGAAGTGCATGTCTAACTATGAAGAGCAGGTAACTCTGGTAGGAAACTCTTATGCCCCTGCCCTCTCTTAGCACCGTGATGGTCCTTCTGTGATAAGTCATGTTCCCTCCCTCTAGTACTCCTAACAGTCTCTTCCTTTCTATGCTTCAGTTCTCACTTTGATTTTCCTCATTCCTGTCCCCCATTTCTTCTTTCCCTAGCCCCCTGCTATACCTCTTGGCCCTCTTCCCACCATCCTGCCCCTTGGCTCTGACCCCAACCCCAGGCCCAGCTCACGCAAACTCCTGAATGAACACGGTCTTAGTGTACTTGTCTAGTGAATACAGGACGACATCTGTGATCTGGTCAACTGAACAAGAGAGAAAAAGCACATGACTATAGTCACTCAGTCCTCCTCAAAGCCTCAGTTCACTTCCCTCAGCTGTGGCCTTGTCCATGAGCACCCCATATGTGATGAAATAAGATGTGAGCATGGACAAAGATATATATTTTGAAAAGCCTACGTTGGGGGGAAGCCAAGATGAGTATAAACAGGTAAATGGGGAAGAGTTTTAGGAAGAGACCTATGGTTTGGGGGCTGGGTACAGGGAGATGGGAAAAGCAGCTCACCAGAAATCTTGATTTTTTTGACAATCTTGTTGGTGCAGTTATTGATGGAAACATTGACAGAGATGGGTTCTCCATGGTAGTGAACCTGAAGCAGGAGAGATTCCCTTCACAAGGATAGAGGGAGATACCCAGATCAAGACATAGATTTCGTGTTTCCTTAGCACTGTTGCTGCCTTACCTCTGGCTACCCAAGTAGGAAATCAGTGAAGAAAAGGTATCACAGGGGTTCTGGGGTAGAGGGCAAAAAGTGGGGCTCACCAACCTCCCTGTCCATCCAGGCTTGTAGTTGTAGAGGCTGAGCTGATAGAAGGAAACGGCGGATGGTCTGGGCCCAGGGACCAGGACCTGGTTCCAGGGGTGCAAACTGTACTTTCCGAACAACCAGCCGCACACAGTCACTAAGTAAAGGCCAAGGGATTAGCCATAACATCTCATTTTGGAACCACAGACCTCCCCATGAGATCCTCATAGCCTAGTCCTTGCTTGGGTATAGGGGTGGGAGAAGGCCTCCCTCAGAGAACTCCTCTAGACCCTCAATGTAGGTATCTAAACCAAGGGTTTCACACTGTGGCCCACTGGCCAAATCTAGCCTGTTGCCTGTTTTTGTGTGGCCTACAAGCTAAGAATGGTTACTACATTTATAAATGGTTGAAATAAATAAAAAAGAAATATTCTATGACACGTGCATTTTACATGAAAGTCAAATTTCAGTGTCCATAAGTAAAGTTTTATTGGAACACAGCCATGTTTTTTCATGTAGTATCTGTGGCTGCTTTCACACTATGGCAGAGTTAAGTAGTTGAAACCAGTACTATATAGCCCACAAATAATCAATATTTATCTTTTCACCCTTTACATAAAAGTTGGTGATGATGGTGCTATGGAGGTTAGAAGTAGGACTTTTCTGCCACAAGAGCAGCATTTGATTACTGGCAGGGGCTGGAGGTAGGGATTTGGGGGAAGACCAAAGAATACCTCTTGGAGATTTTGTCCTCCAGGTTTACAGCACAGAAACTCTTTACTTCAAAGTCAACACCACAGGCCTATGAAGGGGTAGGAGGAAAGAGAACTCATTACTAAGGCTGTTCTTTCCTTCATCATAGGCCTATATGAAAAGGCCTATATGAAAATGCCATCTCTTTGCTGTTCACTTCTTCAGTCTTGTCCATTTGTCTTTCTGTTCCTCTTGACTGGCACTACCCATCTATTCCTTTGCTGTAGTTTGTATCTGAAATGTACCCCTCCCCCCAAAGGCCATGTGCTAAAAGTTTAGTTCTCAGCCTATGGTGCTATTGAGAGGTGATGGAACACTTAAGAGGTGGGGCCTTATAAAGGAAATGCAAATTAAACCATGTTAAAATTCCACCTTACCCTGTTAAAATGACTATCATCAAGAACACAAACAACAACAAATGTTGGCAAGGGTGTGGGGGAAAAGGAACCCTCATACACTGTATGTGGGAATATAAATTAGTACAACCACTATGGAAAGCAGTATGGAAGCTCCTCAAAAAAACCCTAAAAATAGAACTACCATATGATCAGCAATGCCACTCCCAGGCATATATCTGAAGGAATGCAAGTCAGGTTACAATAAAGACACCTGCACACCCATGTTTACTGCAGCATTATTCACAATAGCCAAGCTATGGAAGCAGTCAAGATGCCCTACAACTGATAAATGGATTAAGAAAATGTGGTATATATACAATAGAATACTATTCAGTCATAAAGAAGAATGAAATTATGTTGTTTGCCAGTAAATGGATGGTACCAGAGAACATCATCTTAAATGAAGTTAACCAGGTTTCAGAAGACAAAGGTTGCATGTTTTCACTCATATGTGGAAGATAAATCCAATACAAATAAAAACATTATCATAAAGATATAAATAGATACAGAACATGTTTCCAATAGTGGGACTGTTAGAGGAGACTAAGGGAGGAGGAAAAGAAGAAAAGAATGGTAGCGTGAATAATAATGAAATATATTACATCTGTGTAGGAACAAGTCATAACAAAACACACTGAAAACTGTTGAACAATACAGGCAAAATACCAAGGCAAAATCCCCATTGAACAATGAACAGACAAGCAATGAAGGACAGGAATGTAAAACAGGTTGTGGTATGGAGAGGGCACTAGGTAGTGGGGGAGTTAAATGAAGAGGTAAAGGAGGGTGAATGTGGTTGATGTGCTTTCCATACATCTATGAATATAGAACACTGAAACCTGTTGAAGTAAGAAGGGGAATAGGGTAAGAGGGAGAATAATGGAGGGGATGAACCAAACCAGGGTATAAGATATGTATATATGGAAATAACACAACAAAACTCCTGTATAACTAACATATAAAAATGTTTTTAAAAAGAGGTAGGGTCTTTATTACACTGGAGGAAGATAAGTCATTGGGGGCATGCCCTTTGGAACCCTTCCCATCTCTCTTTTTGAATCCTGGCCACTATGAGGTAAACAGACCTTTCACATGCTTGATTATGCACTGTGTCACTACAGACCCAAAGCAACTGGTCCATGCAATCATGAACTGAAATCTCTGAAACCTTGAGCCAAATAAACCTTCCCTCCTTTTAAGTTAATTATCTCAAATATTTTGTCATGGTGATGGAAAGGTGACTGGTACAGCCCTCTTTCTCAGAACCCAGACCTCACCTTTCCTGAATCTTCGGGTCCTGGCTGCAATGTCACTGAACAGGGCAGGTGAGAAACCATCTAAGGAACCAAAAAGAGGTCAGTGAACAGAATAAACAGGGAGTCCTCTCTGTTCTTCTTTAACTTTCCCTCTTAATCTTCCCTGGAAACCTTGGCCTAGACTTAGGGCTTCGTACCTGCAGGGTAAAGGGGTAGGCATTGTCCCCCAGCTTGTGCAGAAGTCGCTCCTGTAAGACTGTGAGGGGCTGCTGGTGGGTAGTAGGTTCAACTGGAACCACTTGCTGGGCTTGTACATACAGATCTTTGCGAAATGTCAGACCAATCACATCCAAGTCATCACGGCCATAACGAAAAGCACATGTCAACACGACAAACACTGCAGGCAAAGGAGGAAGAGAGTGGCTTGTCAGAACAGTGGAAAAGGAGACCTTAACTAGGTCATAGGAAGACACAGAGAGGGAATGTAATATATTCAAACAGCATGTTCATCAAGGAAAAGATGAATACATTTGACTACAGTAACATTTAAAACTTTTTTGTTAAAAGTTTTACATACAGAGAACAAAAGAAATCCAGGGAGAAAATATTTGCAACACATATAGCAAACAGGATTTTAGCATCTAGAATATATAACTTTCACAAATCAGTAAAAATAATACAGCAGGACAGAAGTGTGCAGAGAATGTGAATAGACCTCACAGAAGCACAAAATGGAATGGCCAATAACATATGAAAACGAGTAGTCTCACTAGTAATCAGATAAATGCGAATTAAAACCACAATGAGGTAATAGTTCATCAGATTGTCAAATATTTTAAAGACTGACAACACTAAGTGTTCATGAAGGTGTGAAGCAATTGGAGGTCTTAAGCACTGCTGGTGGGTGTGTGCGTTAATACAGCCACTTGGGAAAACTGTTTGGCACTGTCCAGTAACATTGAACCTGCTCATATCTTAAGAAGTCTACTACCTGACACAAATTCGTGCTCATAATTTACAAGGAGCTACATATGAGAATGTCCACTGTATCAATGTTTGTCAGAACATAAAATGGGAAGTAATCTAAATATCTATCAACAAGAGAATGGGTGATAAATTTGTGGAATATTCATATGATTGAATACAAAATAGAGGTTAAAATAAATGAACTAGAACTTCACATCATGCTGTTATTTGAATGAGTCCCCTCCAAATTTCAGGTGTTGATACTTCTGTTGCTGTTGTTTTTGGTGGGCCTGGGGTTTGAACTCAGGGCTCATGCTTGCAAAGCTGGTGATCGCAAAGCAGGTGCTCAAAGCAGGTGCTCTACTACTCTACTGCTTGAGCCATACCTCCAGTCCCAGGTGTTGAAACTTCACCATTACAATGGTATCAAGATGGCCTTTAAGAGGTGGTTAAGTGCTGAAGGCTTCTTCCCTTGTGAATAAGGGCCTTATAAAAGAAGCTTCAAGCAGCATTCCTCTCTCTCGCCCTTCCCCCTCTGGCATGTGAGGATCCCTGTGGTAGATGGCAGCAAGGTACCACTTTTGGAAGCAGAAAGTAGCCCCTCACCAGGCAAGCAAACCTGCCAGAACCTTAATCTTGGACTCCCCAGTGTACAGAGCTCTGAAAAAATAAATTTCTGTATACATTACCTAGTCTCAGGTATTTTGGTATAGCCACACAAGTGGACTAAGGCATATATGAACATAGTTAAATCTCAAAAACTGTTGAGTAAAAAAAAAAGCCAGCTCCAGAATTATATGCACAGTATGTTACCATTTATATAAAGCTTAAAACAATGAAGGACAATATCAAACTTGATCATAGATATATAAATATGGAAGTGAAATATAGAAGCATCACAGGAAGAATAAACATCAAATTCTGGATAGTGGTTACCTGGGTAGGAGAGAGAAGGAGAAGTATGAGGGAAGGAGGAAAAGGGATGAGATCAGTTTGTTTTGTAATTATTTTCAAAGCTAGGTGATGGATGCAAGGTATTCATTATATAATTCCCTATGTATGAAATATTTAATAATTAAAAGGAGAGTAAGATTTAGGGTCAGAATAACCATGCATGAATAGGACTTGTATATATTCCTTGAGTTCTCTGAGCCTCAGTTGTCTCACCTGTCAATAATAGGCCTGCACAAGGAGCATTACATATGTTATGCTATTCAGACTTTACAATAATCCTCAAGTATTACCATCACTTTACAGGTAAAAAAAATGAGCTCAGAGCAGTTAAGTAAAGTCCATTATGTTGACACATGCCTATCAGACTCCAAAGCCTAGACTCATGGTGTCCAACTTCACTCAGAGGATGTTTGTAAGGAGTTAATGTGTAAGAAATCTCTGTGGAAACTGTAAAGTGATTATAGACAAAGATAACTGATGATATGATGATGATAGAAATCATGGCAGAAATGGAACAGATACAATTGAACTCGTATTTTGCAGCTGGTACCTAAGATTAGAGGCAGATAGAAAGCCTCTGAAATGTACTAATGGAGTTGAGATGGGATAGAGAGGGATACCTTATCAAGGCCAAAGTGACAGAGATTGAAGCAAGGAAAGATGTAAAGAACGGGTGAGTACCTTTATTTCTATCAGGGCCCTAACCCAGAGAAAAGAAAACTACCAATTGCCACACATGAGTAGAAAGCAACTTATTGTAGTATTTTTAAAGATTATAAGATTATCTATCTTTAAAATCAAGAATGAATAAGATGAATCTATATTCAAAAGAAATAACAAATACTGAAAGTAATGATAATGTCTATGGTTTTTTTTTTTATAAGGACTGGAGCAATGGGCAACCTCATATACTGTGGAAGGGAGAGTTAATTGATGTAATATTTTTGGAGAACAATTTGGTAATAAATATAGAAAGCTTTAAAATGAAGGACTGGGGACATGGCTCAGTGGTAGAGCACTTGCCTAGCATGTGGGAGGTCCTGGGTTCAATTCCTACCACAACAAAAAAGTATGAATGCCCTTCGGCTTTTGATTGAGTTTCTAGGCATTTAGCCTAAAGCAATAGTTGGATTGCCGGGCCACAGTGGCTCACCCCTGTAATCCTCGGTACTTGAGAGGCTGAGATCAGGAGAATCATGGTTTGAGGCCAGCCTGGGCAAATAGTTTGAGAGACCCCATATCCAAAATAACCAGAGCAAAATGGACTGGAAGTGTGACTCAAGTGGTAGAGAACCTGCTTTGCAAGCAGAAAGCCTTGAGTTCAAACCTCAGTCTCACCAAAAAAAGAAATAATCGAATACGTCTGATATATACATATATATGTGTGTGTGTGTCTGTACATATATAAACTTGTGCACACACACACAGGATGTACTTTACAGGGGTGTTTATAATGGCAAAAATCTGAAAACAAAGTAAGTGTCCAATAATTTAAGATCATGTATACAATTACGGTAACTTAAAGTTATAGATTTTTATGTATCGACACAGAAGTTATTGACAGAAAATTATAAATTATGATATAATATAGCATTTAAATAAAAATATATTTTGCACAGAAAATAGGAATAAATATGAACTAAAATATTACTAGAGATTGTTCATAATCAATGGTAACTGGATTATAGTCTCTCACTTGTGCTTTCTGATTTTTCTACAATTAAGACAAACTTAACAAATATCAAAAGATACAACAAATACATTCACCTTGGTTCTCTGACTGGGCTTGGTGGCTCAAACCTGTAATCCTAGCTATTCAGGAGGCAGTAATTGAGAGGATTACAGTTCAAGGCCTGCCTGGGCAAAAATATTTGTGAGATCTCATCTCAACCAATAAAAATGCTGAGAAAGGTGGTGCATACCTTCATTCCAGCTACACAGGGAGCAGAAATAGGAGAATCATGGTCCAGGCCAGCCAGGACATAAAGCGAGACCTTATCTTAAAAAATAGCTAAAGTGGGTGACTATGGTGGAAATACTGTGTACTCATGTATGAAAATGGAAAATGAGACCTGTTGAAACTATGCCAGGAATGGGGGGAAGACAGATAAAGGAGAATGATGGAGGGAGTGAATTTAACTATGATATATTATAAGCACTTTTGTACATGTCACAATGTACCCCTGTAGAACAATAATATGATCATAAAAAAACAAAATAGAAAAGTACAAGTTAAAAAAATAGCCAAAGCAAAAAGGGCTGGGGGAGTGGCTCAAGTGGTAGAGCTCCTGCTTAACAAGCATCAGGCCCTGAGTTCAGCCCCCAGTACCACCCCAAAAAGTCACCTTGGTTCTCAATTATAGCCAATTAAAGTGGGAGAGGGAACAAAAAAAAAAAAAAGGAAAGGCATAAGATGAAGAAAAAGGAAAAGACAGAAAGTGAGAAGTCAATGGCTGAGGGACTGGAGGGTAGCTCAGAGGTAAAGCACATGCTTTAGCATTTAACCAGGAGGGCCTAGGCTTGATCCCCAGCACCAGCACCACCAACAAAGAGGGTGCATGCAGGGAGGCAGGGGAAGGGAGGAAATGAAAGAGATGAGGAATGAAACAGAAAAGGTCAGGAGGGGCAAGGTAGAAGAGGATTTAGTGGCCCCTGAGGTGAGGGTATTAACCTGATAAATTGTTCTTGGCCCTCTTGCCTGTGCGTGCCTAAGGACGGCAGTGGAGGCAGCAGAGCAAATTGTCAGCTCAAGCTCTAATTGGCTTTTTAGCAGTTTAACATCATCCTTTTTTGTGTGTTAGGAAGCTTGTTTTTATCTTCTTTTAAAAAGTCAACAAATATTCTAAAGTTATTGATTTTTGTTTTCATTATACAAATAATATATTAATTTTATGAACATCAGAAAATATAATAAAAAAGAGAACTCAGAGTTCCACTATAATACATCACATTCCAGAGACAGCTGTTAATATCTGTTATGTGCATCCCAACTTGTTTTGCTTCAATAACTGAACACAAGGTCACCTTAGGTACCTACAACTTCTCTCTCATTTCCTTTCTGAAGTCAAACTTTTTATTCTGTGACCACTCTACAGTGGTCACATGCAGTGGTAAGAGTTAATACAGAGACATCCCAGATAGATTGTTGTTAAACAAGAATTTGCTCATATGACCACATACCCTGCTCTATCACTAACTTTTATCACCAATGGTATAAAATAAGCATAGTTTACATCAACAAATGCACCTCGATACAAAAGCACATTAGAAAATGTGATGCAAGGGCTGGCAGAGAGGCTCAAGATGTAGAGCGCCTACCTAGAAAGCATGAGGCCTTGAGTTCAAACCCCAGTACTGCCAAAAAACAATGCCGCAAATAGATGATCTTCATAAAGTAACAAAACATATGAAATAAATTTGAGAAACATGCATGATTTAAAGGAATAATAATATAAAACTCTACTAAAGGGGCATGAAAGAAGATTCAAATAAAAGGAAAACTACACCTTTATCAACATGCATTTTTTTTAAACTAAAAATTTCTTTCCATAGGTTATTCTTAATATTTTGTAGGAATGTGAAAAAACATTTAGGTTTTAGAGATATGAAGTACTTGGAAGTCTATTGATTAATTTATGGCTATACTGCAAAGTTTCTCTGATATTTAAAACTGGCCAGAATGTTTATCCACACGGCTTACTCTGAGAGATTAAGGCTGACTTCATTCTTCAATATCTACAGGTTACATCAGAACTAGTATTCATCAACCCTTTTCAAGATAAACCCAATTTTCAGTCTAGTTGGATCGCAGTGGGGTTGATCCATTGTGAGAATTAAAAGGAAAAAAAACAATGAAGAAAAATTTCAGGGTAATGTTGGTCTGTAGTACTGCTGTCAGAGTAATATCTCTTGTTGTTACTTCCTGTGGTTGTTATTTTGTTTCTTTGTTGGGGATTTTTTTTTTAAAGGAAAGGTTAGGCAGTTTCCTTATACAAAAGGAGAGGTAAAAGGTATGTACCAAAGGTTGCAAAATGGCAGCCTGAGGGTCACATTCAGTTTACAGATAAAGAAGAGTATTTTGACCTATCCTGGCCTTTTAAAATCTTTTAACAATTTCCTGTCATTTGAAAGTCAGGGAATTTACATTAAAATATGGAATTCTGGCGGACTGGATCATTCCATAAGCAGTCTAAGCCCATGTTCAGATCAACAGCCAAGAAGACACCACCAACAATAATGAAGAAAATAAAAAATTTGATAAAGAAGCTGTTTTAATTTCAACACACATGTAAGTGTGTTAACATCTTTTCAGACTTTGGGTCTCAAAGTTTTTAATTGGAGCTTCATTTCAATTCTTTAACAACCAGAAAATCTGGCCACTTTGGGCTAGAATTCTCAAATCTCACTCAATAAACACTTTCTGGCACTCCACTCATTCAGGCTGCATACCTGGCATGTATGACATTTCAGTTTGCGACCCTGAAACATACAGAGACCAACAAAAATGTCCACTCACACTTTTGACCTTTTAAATAATCAGGGTTAACCAGGACTACACCATCTGCAGAGAGAGGACGAGATGATACCATGGTCAGAAAAATTGTGACTATAAAACAGAAGCTGACCCCTGAAATGGTTTTTCCCATTTTCCCCTTCAATTGGCTTCTTTTTCCTGTATGGTTCTTCCTGGGCTTTCTTTTTCTTTCTGGCTCCCATTCCCTTCTCCCCAGCTCTTTCCCCTTTTGGACTACTGACCAATGGGTTCCACAGTGTCCACATGGTCCATGAAGTCTCGTTTCCCCAGGTAGATGGAGAGCTGTTGTGGAACCAACTCCTATGTTAGTCTCACTAGTAGTAGCTTTGAATGAATTCTCCTGAAACTCTCAACCCAGACCCCTGAGACTTTGAAGGATCTACACAATTCTGCCCTTTGCCCTTTCATTTACCCAACTTGACCAGGTTCTCTCACCTTCCCATTGGAGCTGGTCTTCTTAAACACCCTATGAAGAGAAAACCAGAAAGAGGGAGGGGAATTGGGCGAGCAAAAAGAGGAGAGGAAGGGAGAGAAAAGAAAGGGAAGTGTAGGGAAAAGGAAATATTTCTAGGATTAGGAGAATAGGAGATGGAGTAAAGGCAGAGGTAATTGGGATAGAGTCTAAGACCGTAAGTTAGGGAGAGGTTGGAAACTTCTCTTCCTCCAGAGGCAAATTCTTGCATTTGGATAGGGAGCAATTCACAGATTCAGAGTATCAGAAGGAGTTCTTACTTACTTGGACATCTTGGCTAGGGAGCCGATGTTGAGCCTTTTTTGAGATAAGGGAAAGAATGAGGAAAACTTAGTCATTTGGTCCCTATTCCTCTTACTCCACTCCAGTATGTCATCCAGACACACCTAATATGAGGAAAACTTTCCCCATCAGATACCTTACCACCACCCAGTGCCTCCTGTTCTTCTTGCCAAAGGCATGTCTTCAGCCATACTCTGACCCATCCTGGATAAGGGGGAAATCCTCCCTATTTTGTACAAAGTGTTGACTAACTATATTGCCTATTGTCCAAAAAGGGTTGAACTTCATGGAATGGCTGAACCATTCTTCTTCTTCCTCCTCCTCTTCTTCTTCTTCTTCTTCTTCTTCTTCTTCTTCTTCTTCTTCTTCTTCCTCCTCCTCTATTTTCAACATTAGGGTTTGAACTCAGGACTTTACTCTTGCTAGGCAGACACTCTACCCCTTGAGGCACTCCACTAGCCCGGCTGGAGCATTCTTGAAAACCTTTTAGAAAGAAGAGACTTGTACGGAAAGGGGCTGGACAGAGACTTCCATCCAGAAAAATGTGAGGAAAATGTGTTTTTGGACTGGATGAGACTGGACATCACCTGGCACACAGTAGGTGCCAAGACATGTTTCTTAGGTACAAGAATGGATGAACAAATGGATGGAGTCTGTCCCATTCTGCTCCTGCATTGGATTGTGAGCCTGAGTTTACCTCAGGATGGCCTTGAAGGGACATAGGTATAGGAGAAAAAGAGTTGCTGCCCTCATTTTCCTGGTATTGGTGGCAGAAACCTCTATAGAAGTTGAAAACATTCCTTGAACTTACCTGTTCCTCTCATTACTTTCCTCAAATTTCCTCATCTTTATCCCTATCCCTTTTTCCCAGGTGCTAGGGAACCTTAGAGAAAGGAAAATGTCTGTCTAGCACTTTCCTTTGATGCATACTAGGCCTGGTCCAAGGAGTTAGCTCAGGGAAACTTCCGTAAGTCACTTTCAGGGTCTCTCCAGGCTGAATGCCTGCTGTTTATGTGAGGAATGACGACCCTCAACCTCCCCTAGTATACTAAGGGAGATGTTACAGGTAAGCGATGTGGGCTTAGTGTGGACTAGAACTAGGGGGATTTGAAATATTACCTAGGGAGAGAGATGAAGTTCACATCAGCCTCCAGCTCTGGTTGCTGTTCTGCCCTCCCCAGTCTCTTATACCCACGAACCTCTGTTTATGTTGGTGGGAGTCAGAGAAGAATGGGGGGGGTATGAAACACTGCTATAAATAGCTCAAGTGCCAAGAGTTTGGAAAGCAGATTAACGGCTTCAAGATTAATGGCTAAAAGATCAGCAGACTACTATTGCTAAGGCTGAGGGTGGGGGATTCTGGTGACATTAGAAGCAGGGCAGAGAACAGCAGCTACAGGATTTTGGTCTTGTGAAGCCTTGAACATGAGAGCTGGGATCAAAGTGGAGTTGGAGGCCTTAAAGGTGAAGCACAGAAGGAAAGAAATAGGAGGGCCCAGCTGGATACTGGTGGCTCATGCCTGTAATCCTAGGCAGAGATCAGGAGAATCATGGCTCTAAGCTAGCCCCGGGCTGACCCTATCTCAAAAAACCCACCACAAAAAAGGGCGGTGGAGTGGTTCAAGCAGTAAGAGCACCTGCCTGTAAGCATTGAGGCCCTAAGTTC